GACGCACATAGAGGTATTTGGCCGATTTATGTGGCCAAATTATTTTTATGAATATTTCAACTTGAAATACTTAAAAAGGACGTGTTTTAACACACAAAATAGAAAATGTTTAAAATCAAGTAAATAGAAGGGGACGAAGTCTAATTATTCTATCAAAAGTAAAGATGAAACTAGTCAATAACGCAGAACTTATACCTAAACGCTGAATTTTGTCGATTACTGCAGCCCTCCGTGTTGCTTACTACAGTGTTGCCACTCATCAATGCCTTTTCATAAAATTACCTTTTCAACAACAATTTGTCGTGCTAAATATAAACTACTTATTAGGGCCATTAGATAACTCGTGGCCTAAACCGAAACCGTCTCTGTGAAAGAACAGTCCTAGTAGCGTTGGATATGTCGTTTGACTCCGTCAGTAACTCCACGCTACTAGAAGACATTGAGGCTTCCTCTCTGGTACAGGGGCTAATACGATGGCCAGGGAATTATGAGTGGTCGACATTTGTCAGTTATTTTTAGAGACAAAACTGGGGACTAGCAAGACTCAGTGAATAAAGCTACAGACATGCCAGAATACGGCACTCTGGAGCGCGATTGGATGCCTTCTGATGTCGCCCCTACACTACCTACACGAGGCCTAGATGCTCCCCAACAAGGAGCACAATACAATACTCTGCAAGCAGTTCCTAGTAGGGTTCCACATACGCGGGCAACCGAAAAGACAACTTCTTGCAGCAAAGCCCTCGCCAAGGCACGTCAGGATGCATCTGTACGAACTGACGGACGAAGTCCAGAGGTTCATAAAACAGCCTCTGAACCCGACAGCATACCGAAGGCCATAAACGGCATTCCCAGGGAGTCGGTCTCAACCTACATAGACTCCCGACCTGTGAATGCCACGGGACGGTACAGGGCTTTGTCGCTCTGGATACTGCAGCAGGTTAAACTCGTACCTGAGCAGAGTGAACGCAGATGTACCCAACGGTCTGCAGAGAGTCGCCACATGACTCATGGCACCTCTTCGCATGCCCCCGAAATCCTATCCAGCGAATGCCCTTGTGCCTATGAAAGTTGCGCACTTCCTGGGTCTACCGTTAGCTTAGCCTAACGACAGCGATTGATGGACAAGCCGATCTGAGCTTCTTCTATAACTCTTCTCTATCGATTATTTCTCTACTGGTAGAGAATATACTACATTCTCAATTCATTCATATCTCAATTCGCCTTGGTAGAGAATTGTTACAGAAACGAGCTACTGGATTGAGTAGCCGCTACAACAACACCTTTTTTACCGAAAGTTTTTTGATCAAATTGGCTGGACTATCAACAACTTATTTATATATGTACATAAGTACAGTTACTCACATAATTGAGTATACATATAGATTTTTTTTTAATAGGAGTGTAGTCGTACGCCCAACTATATAAAGTTTTAGAAAACTTTTACTGGTTTTGCGTTCTCGTACCCAAAAAACTTGCAAAGTAGGGGAAATTGAGAGAGCAAAATGTGAAAGAGAGCTGCAAATCTCTGCTGGAAAATTTTTTCCCAGCAAAAACTTGCAAGTGAGAAAATCAGCTGATCACAAACACATGTTTGTAAATAAACAAAAGAAAATATGGCCTTTTTGAATTATTTATTGCAAATTTTATTACTTATGCTAGTATACAACGAAAAAGTGAGTAAATTTAATAAGCACAAGGTTTGTTGAGTTAATTTTTCCATTAATCTCCACTTTGTTTATTTTAGTGCGTGCTGACTATGGTTGCCGTATGACATTTTTCGTTTGTACCATAATTTTCCTTTGAATATACCAAGAACTTTTGCTGCTGGAGAATTTTGTCCCAACCTAATATTAGGTGCAATCCCGTATTCTTCGGGCTAAAACTAGTAAAACTCTCAAAAAATAAAAAATCGCTCAGAACGAGAACATTGAAAAGTAAAGTAAAAAATGGTAACTTCTGTCAAATTCAATATAACCTCCAAATTTTGGTTGTAATTTTTGCTTATTTTGTATGTAAACACGCTCAGCTCACACATGTAAATAACCAAAAATACTTTAAAATTCATTATAATCCACTTAAACAAGTAATTAAATACTTTTCAACATGAATTACAAGCGTGCACTTTTCTTTTGTTTACAATTTGGTTGCCAAACACACTACAGCTGATCGTTTGACACATTTACCAGAATTTACCAGCAAAAAATCTTCGGACAAAAACTGGTAAGTTCTCCCGGAGAGAGAACCTTATTTACTCTCTTTTTTGTCCACTCAATAGTAAGAGAACCGAGTACGGGATCGATTTCCAGTAAAATCTGCCTGATTCTGACTATTTCTGACTAGTCCGGACTCGTACGGCATCGCAACTATTACCAATGTTGTTCATGTTAAAGATGGCTTATATTTTTACAAAGACAATGTAAATCCAAGTATGAGACTACGAAATTTAGGGGAAATCTGCAGTTTCTTAGCTTTCAGTGCATGTCGGGTTCGAATGCCGTCAGGCGCTCCCTTTTTTCTTTTTGAACCCTGAAAAACCATTTGTGAAGTGCAAAAGGAAAGCTTATTGAACGAAAAATTCAATAACAAACATTTCAGAAAAACAGCCAAAAACATATTCGTTTCAAAACAATTTTCGGTTCTTGTCTGTACTTTCGTTTCTGCCACACACTTTAGTGGAAAAACGCATCGTCAAAGTATCCGAAAATGGAATCGGTAAACGGACAAACATACGCAATTCATAAACATTTTTTCCTTTTTCGTATGCATTTTCGGATTTTTTGCCGGCTGGGTTAATAGGGCTATCACGGAATCCATCGTAGAAAATCTACGAATTCGAATGCCTGCTACGAATACGGAAAAATTGCTATTACTGATTCCGAGTGAACTCGAAAATATCGTTGCCAGCTTCGAATGCTGATTCGAAATCAGCTAGTGCAAAGGAAACAATAGACATTTATGTATGCCATTTTGCTCACGCCGCCCCAGCAGTCGCAATGGCCGACTGCCAATTGAGAGATCCGAGTTCGAGTCTGAGTCGTCGGGCAGCGGAGCGTTTTCTTTATTTATTTAATTTTTGTTTTTTTTTAATTGTCGAAGACATGGATGATGATGAATAATTAGCTAACCTTTATCTTA